ACCCATGAAAACGCCTTTCATCTCACTACCTGAGTCTTCAATTGGTAAAAATGTCTGATTCCAGAAGTGAGCAGCACCCAGCTCAGCACATCATGAGGTTAGCGATGCGACGCCTTTTTTTTCTTTCTTTCTTTCTTTTCATCAGAGAAAGTAATCACAAAGACAAAGGCAGAAAAAAGCTCATCTAGATGAGAGCAGACCTGTCCTCCACACTCAGAGAGGTGAGTCAGCATGGCTGGCCTGCTCTGTTTGGCTGCGTTTCACCACACACACAGTGTAGAATCAAGAGAAATCGATACATGGAAGGAGAAAACTTGAGGGAAGGGGTGGGCAAGAAAGGGTGATAGAGAGAGCTTGGAAGAGAACTAAAAAGCTACTGAGTGAAAGAGTTCAATACAAAGGAAAAAGCATTAAAAAGCCCACCTTTATTCTCCTTGAAATTCTAGTTTTATGTACTAAGATCATACATACTTCATTTACACCTGACACTTTTCCAACCTTTCTTTATTCCTTTGACTTAAACAGGCTATTTTTGTGTGTCTGTGCCTTTAAGACTGATAGATGCTCTGACTGGCTGAGCACTTTATAAGGTAAATGAATTACACTGCATTCAAAAATGCAGCCTGCAGTCTGAGCTGAAATGAGCAAAATTTTCAGACTGAAATCCTCAGGGACATCATAAATAAATAAATCAGCTGCTCCTTTGAGATACGTGGATCATTTGGAAGGCAAGTCTGGCTGGAATGATTTGTTTACTTCTCGACAGCTATAATGTTTAATCGTTTTCTCCACTGAGGTAACTCCCACAGACTGACTGAAGAAACAGCACTGCACGTCACTTCAGCATAAACTGAATGGATGGTTAAGTAAATGTCTTCATGGTTGTGACATTACAACTATTATTAAAACACAGGATGTTTCTTTATAGCTTACATTGTAGTAAATGGACTGTGCATGGAGATTTTTTCTTAGATAGAGACAGAGATCAAGAAATTCCTTGAACAGCTGGTACTTGGTAAATAAAGATTTTGTTTCTGATTTAGATTTATACTAATTATTTATTCATTTTATTACAGCTGTGTATTTGATGATACACATGAAATGTCCAAATTTCCAGTTTGATTAAATGATCTCTCACTGGTTAACACTGTTTATCATATCTGTTTTCCAGAGATTTTGCTGAATGTTTTAAACGTTAACTACAAGGGGCCGGGTTGCCAGATCCAGCCAACATCCCTGCCCTAACGTTTGCTTAGGACCTGTCCATCAGAAGCTAAAACGATCATTTTTTCCTGCAAACGCATTTTCAACATACCCCAATTCTGCTGTACCAAAAACTCCATAACAAAAAATCAATAAAAATAAAAGCACATGGTTCCACATAACCATCCCTTCTGCAGGTGCGCATGCTCTGCCCTGATCAGAACTTGTTCGTATTACATGAAGAACTCCCACAGTGTGTAAACATCGCAAAAATAGATGGAAAGAAAATGTCAATAACAGAGATCTTAAACGATCCAAAGGGACGGAAAGAGATGGTTGTTTTTTGTTTTTACTGGGGGATGGCATCTCCTTGCATCCCTGCCTCAAATCGAGCCCTGACTATAGATGTTCATTCAGTACAGTAGGTGTTACTTTAACACTGCAGGCATTAATATTCAGCATTAGGGATTTTACTGTTTTGGGATTTTAAACTTGGAGATACATATTTTTCTTTGGACAACAACGATATAGAAAAAAGAGAAAAAAAACGAATGATTTATTATTCTGAGATGTCATCAGGAGGTGCACGATAAATATGTGCAGGCAAAGAATTCAAAATGTTTGGAACATCACAACAAAACACTCTTTTGTTTTACCTCTGCAACATCTAGCAAGCATTTGACCTTGAGACCTGATTTGGAATAGAGTCTGTTAGACACTCCGTAAAGTATGATGGTGCTAAACCAACTACAGCTTTAAAAACTAATAAAAGAACTTTCAACTGTTAGGAAATCAATTCTTGCGGGAACACGGAGGCTGTGCAATGATGCAAGAGCAGGTGCAATGTTTCCCTTTCTACTGATATGCGTTACTGCTTTAGCAGCCACGTTTTGTACAACCTGTAACCTGCCAATAGTGTTTTGGGGTAATCCAGTAAATAGGGCACTGCAATAGTCTAGACAGGAAGACAAGAATATGAGTCAACTTCATGGAATCGTACAGTATATATAGAGGTGTATGAAAATAAGGCTTAACATTTTAATGCTTTTCTTGTTTTGAGGGTCTTTGCTTTGGCTTAGATCAACATTCAGAATAAAACAAAAATGAATTTACTTTGCTTTAATTAAATTTGAACACAATTATTGCCAAAAGCAATAAACCATACAACAATAATTGAGCTGATGCAATATATTCAGCATGTGGAACCACATTTGCATCAGGTAAGTTTAGTATAGCTCTACCTCTGAAACTGAATTTAACATATGAGCAGCAGATCTTCTCATTAGTTTCATATGCATTAAATAATTCATGAGAATAAGTCCTGCCAGGCCTGCTGGTGCTGGAGCACGAGCTCTAGTTCGGAACAACATCGTTTACTTCCTCCAGAAACATAACACACCTTATTCACTTCACTCTTGCTCAAAGGACCTCTTGCTTAAAGGCTGAACTGGTCTCAAATGATCCAAACTGAATTGTTTATTTATTACTATCACTGGTAAAATACTGCAGCTGCCATGTCAGGGGCCATGTCACTTCTTCTTTCTTCTGCGTTTGAATGATTTCTGGATTTGTGAAGTCTGGTATCACTTTAAAAAAATAATAATAATAATAAGAAAAAGGTACGGAAATGACTAAAAACATCCCCTGGTAATACATTTTAGTAAAGCCTACAGCACTTTTAGCTGGGCCGGCTGCCACAAACTCACCGCACCACTGGGGGCCTGGATCTGAGTGGGTGGGCTTTCGCTAACGAGTCCTAACGAATTGCAGATTAGCAGCTCATTCAGATTTATTAAGTCTGTGATTGCGTGGGAGTCATGTCACAAACATCATCTGGATCCCTGCCAAGAATACTGATTAATACAGCGACTCAGACGAGAGGAGGCGTGAAAGGAATGATATATCTTACCTGATCAAGTACATCTGTCCTCAGAGTGATATTTACATATGGTTACACTAACCAGTGAATGTAAGGGACACAGTGGGTGCAGAATAGTTTTATATCTGTAGTGATTGGCCTCACTCACCTTTCTCCTTCCATTATGTTATTAGAATATCGTATACTGTAATGTCATACACAGCTTGGACTTATTATGCAGACTTAAGGTGACCTTCTAAAAGGGTAAATGTGAGGAGGTTTCTATTTCAGATTCAGTCTGTGCTATGCAGGCAGAAGCGATGATGTGTTTAAAATGGTTTAATGTAACTGGCCTTTCCATGATGTCTAATCAGGTTGACTTAACGCCCTTACAGCAACCAGGGCATTTCATAATCCAGTAAATGGCACATTAAGCATTAGGCCTTCTCTATACTACTCTCTCTGCCTGTTTCTCTCTCTCTCTGTATGTTTTGCCACAGTGGGTATTCCGGCAATTGAGCAAGTCAGTCAACTGCATGGCTCAGGGTTGATAGAAGCACTGTAGACGCAGTGGCCCAACAAAGTTACATACAGTCAAATCTCATCGCAAAATGAGCACACCTAAACTTTACCAGCAGTTTTACTATTCATCTGCTGGGATACAGTGTTTCTGCTATATATATTTTGCAGCAGCAGCAAAATTATTGCCGCCACAGCTTCAGAATTTTGTGAAATGTCATGAAGTTGCAATTAGAAAATGCTGCAGAGGGCTTTTCATTTGAAACAATGATTACAGGACGTGGACAAACATTGCGCAAACAGTCAGAGCCGAGTTGAGCCAAAGTGCCAAATGAAACGGTCACCAGTGGAGTGGACTATTCCAGTTTTAGCAAGCTGTAGCTAGTGAACTGGCTAATTTAGCATACTGTGAGGAGGCTGGGTTGACCTTATTTTGCAATGTTATTAAGTTGAGTTTTACATTTTGTGGACTTTTGCGGACTGTGGTGGTCTGAAATATGAATAAAGTGGGTCAAAAGGAACTGTATATCTGGTTTATTCTCTGCGAACCTGGCTAGTCACTCATCGTAATGTGTTAATGCTTGCCAGCTGGCCAATGAGGGCGAGCTACTGTTTAGAACAGTATATCTGATGGGATGTCTGTTTTACAACTTTACAGTGAGAACATGTACTGAATAGAACAGGTAAGATTGATGGCCTGAGCCTGATCTTCCATGGCTGGGCAGTAACAAAAACAAGCTGAAGGGGGTTGGGTTTGGGGTTGGTCTTAACCCAGTCCCTGGTGGGGGAAGGATGAAGGGGACCTGATCTGCCACTGCTGCTGAAAAAAATCCAAGATGAAACACTGGCATATTTGTACGATCAAACTCACCTCTAGTAGGAGTTTCAGCATAATAGTTTAACAACCTGAAAAAACTGCTTGATTTGCAGTTATCTATAATACTAATAGTTTGTGCGCATAGCAATCCAGTACAAAAGTGAATCTACCTATTTTACATGCATATTGGTATAAACAAATGCCACAGCTATTCTATGTTCTATTTACAGACATATTACTCTGTGCTTTTGTTTTATACTACTGACACTGCCTTAAAAAAATCAATAAATAAATAAATAAATAAATATAAAACACAAAATAGCATCTCATACACTGCAACAACAGAGTGTTTGAATGTGTTATTTTAGTAAAATAATCACACAACATTTTCAAACTGTTTACTATTCATTATGTTTTACTTCTCTTTTTATTGATGTATAATTATATAAAGACAAGAAAAACTATTTCGGAGAGACAACTAATACCTAATGCCAATTCAAACACAAATAATAGGCAATATTATCCATATGTAAAGAAATATACTTAGAACACTGAGATCGAACATAAGCAAATGAAGCATAGAAGAAAGAGATGAAAACTCACGGTTTGATGGCGTGGGCAGTAGGGACAGTGCTCCAGAGCCTCCATCCACTGATATGGTGGTCTTGATTGGACCGGTGGGTCTGAGCTTCCCTTCTGAAGCGCTTGTGGGAAACACTGGAGGGAATTCTCCATTTGCTAAAAGACAAAAGAATGAATGAATTTCATGGTCAAGAGTTGAAGTTCTGCAGCATTCACAGTGAAACAGGCAGCACCATTTCCTTTGAGAACTGACAGTGCACCCACACTCAAACTGTAAAAATCAGTATTTAATCTGTTCATAAATCTGACTATAAGTGAAAGACACTGTTTCATAATTTCTTATTTGACGGTCTACAGCTTCAGACATTCCTGCTGTGATTTCATTTCTAAGGGACTTTGCAACTTTCTTTTGACTTATTTCTGACATTTGTACGCTTGCTCTTAAATTATTTTTATAATACTAGTGTATTCACAGAGCCCATGCCAATCTCACTATGACTCACTAGGAGTGTAATTCGCAACAAGACGTCGCAACAAAAGCACAGTGTCACTGAATATGAATTCTCACCCGTAACTAACAGAAACTAGTGGAGAAATTCTATCAAAAGTGTGGATTTTAAACTTTTAATCAACCACATTTATGTTTCTAAGTAGAAGAGGAGATATTTTGCTATGATTTGAATCTAATGAAAAGCCATTTTTGTGCAACCTTGTTTTGCGGAAAGAAAAAACTACATCTTTATGCTTTTGTCATTTCTTGACATCAAAAGAAGCAGATTAACGTCAGAAGCGCAGACTCAAAGCTACTGATTCATAATGTTAATGGAATTAAATGCATTACAAAACTCACTATGTAATTACAAATGTACAATTGTTCAACTACCTTTGAATAATACAGCGACTGTAATTATGGTTACACCTTGCTTTAGCAAGGCGCAACTATATTGTTATCCGATTTATATTATTCCATTCATTCCATTCATTTTTACCACCACTCAAACTCTATTACTTCCTTACCCAACACCCACTGAATTGCAAGTACTCATTCAGGGCACCGCTCCAAGCTCTTATCCACAGCCATACTGACCCGCACTCCTCTATTTGTCGTTTTTTCATCCATCGTTCCGCCCTTAGAGTCCCATTCATTTTCGCCACCACTCAAACTCTATTGCTTCTTTACCTGACGGCAAACAAACTACATGTACTCAGTCAGGGCAGGTCACCAAGCTCCAATCCAAAGTCATTCTGACCTGCACTCCTCTTTCTGTCATTTTATCATCCCTCATTCCTCTCTCCGAGTCTCATTCATTTTTGCCACCACTCAAACTCTATTACTTCTTTGCCTGACAGCCATCAAAATGCATGTACTCACTCAGGGCACATAATCCGCCTTACTGACCCACACTCCTCTATGTGTAGTTTTTTCATCCCTCATTCCTCCTAATGACTTACATAGTAACCGCTGCGCAACCATTCCACGATTCCTTCAGGAAATGCACTTTTCTAGTTAAATATGTAATTTTGCAATAAATATATTCATTTTTGCCAAAGTAACACTTCTCAGAGTCTAAGGGTTGCTACCACATTACAATCCATAAAAAAAAAATAAAAAAAAAAACATGCCAGATGTTACAGTATATATTTCTGACACAAAGAGCCGTATGCAATTTGAGGCAGCCCAGGTGGTCAGTTCTGAGCTCAGCCCCCAGTGAAGAAGTCAAGAACCGACTGCATGTTTCTTAATTATGATGACAAGCCACACAAGCTCAAGCATTGTTCCATTTGCCAGCATCCTGAGAAGACGGATCACCCCTTTCCACCACATGTAGTCCTGGAGACAATACGGGGACGATGTGAAAAATGCCACCTCTCATCTCAATGTCTTTAATCATCTCCTAAAAAAATAAATAAATAAAAAAAATACACTCTCATGAAAGCAACTCCCGCACCACTCCAGGCCGAGCTGGCATCATTCATCACAGTCTGGCCCTGCTCCCCACTGCTGCCAGCATTTCATGATGCACACTGTTGGCACAACTATTATCTGTCCTCCCATTTGAGACATCACCGGTGGAAAATGCGATCTGCTAAAAGCACACCTCAGATATCTACCTACATCTGCTTTTCTTTTTTTGTTGTTTTTCTTTTTCTTTTCTTTACAAAACTATACAAAGTCACACACCACCCTTCATTTATTTAATTTCCAGTAAACATGTAAAACAGCCAAAGTTATTCATTTTTCAGCAACAAAAAAAAAGCAGGAAAAATATTTTAACAGACGTGTTAAATATAATATCACTTTTTCATCACTTAGTGTGTCCACTCTTTGCCTTTATTACAGCTTACATTCTTTTCGGGGGACCTGCTTTCAGTTTTTCAAAGAAATCTGCAGAGATATTTTTCTGCAAAGTTCAGTCTTAAAAGTTGGTTGGTGTTTTTGAGGCTTAAGCTGTCTTCTCACAGTGGAACACCTGTGGATTTTCTCCTCTCTCTCAAAGATGTCAGCTTTAAGCACCGTTTTTAGTTTGTTGGTCTACCAGGTCTAATTTTCTCTTAAACTTTTAATAATTTCTTGAGCTCTACTTTTGGAAAGTCTTGATTTTTCACCTTTTGTTGGGAAGACGCAGCTTTAACTCTTTGGTTTTAAGAAGGCTGGAAGACTAGAAGGCTGGAAAAGTGAAAGTGGCAGTAGGGAGCAAAAATGTACAGTAACAACTGAACAATTACATATTTTGATTTATTTGTCAAGGCTATTGTGTTACTTTCTTTTAAATATATGTTTTATGCTGGTGAATAATTTGTATGTAATGACTGTTTGAAAATTGAATAAATGAAAAGGTGGTCTCTGACTTTTGCACAGTACTGTATTCCAAAATTTCCCTTACTTATTACATTCTCATTAACATGTTTACAAAGTAAAGCTATGCAATGAATTATAAATGCCGGTCACAGACTGAATGAGTTTTCATTCTGTGCTGCTCTTTTTGCTCTACCTTTTTCTTTTTTCCATCAATTTCACAGCAGTCACAGAATGACAGAATGACAGGTGGGTTACAAGACACAAGAGCATCAGAGCACACATGACAGTGAAAGACAATGCTGGCTGGTGGTCCAAAATCAAAACCTTTTTAAAGTGCAACTTTGGAGGAAATCATTTAATCCTTTAACCTGGGGAACTAGCGAAAAACAGCTCTGTGCAGCAGTGAGCTTTCATTCCTAATCTGTCTGAACCTCGCTGAGCTACTTCTTAGGACACACTGTGCTTTATATGGCCTATTTTATTCAAGAGATACGAGGCATGCCTTTGCGTCAGAGAAGTTACTGAGGAGTTAGTATTTCAGCCCTATCGAAATTACTTCATCAATTCTGGACCCTTGGGTATCAATGCGTATTGAATTTGGTGGTCAATTATGTGGGCAATGGAGGGATACATCAGTACTTAGCCACAACCTTGCAGTGACTCAGAAATCAGCCATTTTAGCTTAGATGGACTTCTGAATAAGCACAGTGGTCGTTCCTGCAGTCAGTTTCAGCTAGAGATGAGATCAGAGGCAGGTACATGACTGTCTGAGACTGCTTTGAATGTGTCTAGACTGAAGTGACGCCAAAGATTTTTATGGAATTAGAAGCACAAGTTTGTGGCACATGGCATGGGTGACTTGCACATCTGTGAATGCACCATTAATGCTGAACAATATATACAGGTTTTGAGAGCAACATACGCTGCCATCCAGATGATGTCTTTTGCAGGGAAGGTCTTGCTTATTTCAGCAAGACAATGCCAAACCACATTCTGCATGTATTACGACAGCATGGCTCCGTAGTTAAAGAGTCCGGGTGCTAAACTGGCCTGCCTGCAGTCCAGATCTGTCACCCACTGATAACATTTGACACATTATGAAACAAAAAATAAGATAAATAAGATCCTGAACTGTTAAGCAGCTGAAATCTTATATCAAGCAAGAATGGAAAAACATTACACTTTCAAAACTACAGCAGTCGGTCTGCTCAGTTCCCAAACGCTTACAGAGTGGCGTTAAAGGAAGAAGTGATGCAACACAGTGGTAAACATGCCCCTGTCACAACTTTTTTTGGAACGTGTTGCTGGCATCAAATTTAAAATGGGAATATGTTTTTCAAAAAACAATAAAATTTCTTTGTTTCAATATTTGATATGCAGTCTCTGTACTATTTTCAATCAAATATAGGGTTTACATTCATTTGCACATCATTAAATTCTGTTTTTTGTTACATTCTGCACAGCGTCCCAACTCTTTTGGAAACAGGGTTGCATGAATGAACATGCATGAGCGGGATTCATCACCATACCCAAGTGCCATATAATCAATACTTCATGTGCAATATTCTAAGTGCAATATGTGTGAAATATCCTTATAGTGTAAAGAGTTTTTGCTATTTTATTTATAATCATATATTGTTAATTTTGTGAAGAATAAAGTTATTGTATGGTATGTATGGTAATAAGTAACAAACTATAACCTTGTTAAGTAATTAATAAGGTTAATTATCTTGTTTGTTAATTCTCTTGATACTGCTTTCTTGCATGCCTTGCTATCCCTTTGCTGCTGTTGCACTGTGAATGTCCCCAGTTGTGGGACCAATAAAGGATTATCTTATGTTATCTTATTTTATCTTATCTTATCTTGTGAAGTTATATGCCTCCTAGGCAAGATTCTACTTCAGGAGTGCTAAGGACATTTTAGGCAGGTGGTCTGAAACATACCTTCCAGAAAACATTTTACCGCTGGCAGCTCTTTCAGATCACTGTGGAATCATGCTAAATATATCTAATGGAGACATAACAATACTAAAAATGCCCACTACCCATTAGCTCTAGACTGTGAGCTGGCTGGATACTGAAAGGGTTTGTTCAAAAAGGCCCTGACGTCAAATCTAGGAGTTAAATTTACTTTACAGAGCACACCAGGAGAGCCCACTGACTCTTTTTTCCTTTGGCTGAGAAATTCTGAGCTGCTGAATGAGAATATAAAAGACATTAGCTTTCAACATAGAGAACCGGCCCACCTCTACCACGTGGCTAAATAACAACCTGCAAAGAAATAATGGCATCAGCAGGGTGTGACCTTTTTGCACAGTCAGTTATGTGAAAGCATGCAGACTTCAAATAAGCCTGC